CAAAAGAAATATCCTGGCTTTCCCCAACCTTTATCTTTCTTGCTTATCTCAGACCTTCTGGCCAGTGCCTCCTTTCTTCCTCCAGTGCCTCCATTTGGTCTAACCAAATGAAGACAGCTGATAGAGGACCCTGGGAAATGCAGCCTTCAAGATGAAGAATTGGAGAAACAGGCCTAGGATGAGCACAGTGGATTAAGCAAATGAAGGGAAGCATGAAGTGAGGAGAAAAGCAGAGGGTTTAGTCCTCTGTTGTGGCCATGGCAAATGGAGAGGAGCTTATGAAGAAGAGAGATAGATCAGCCAAATAGGTTGGAGTAGCAATAATACAATGTTGGTTTGAAATAAAAAATGAGAGGATTAAAAGGAAAAAACAAAAAATGAAATGGCTGGTGGCCACCGAATGCCTCATGAATTGATCTTTCCTCCTGTAATTTCTGTTCAGTTTTGCCTGTAGTAACAGTGTGAGAACTTTTTTGGGGCACGGTGAGACACTATTCATGAGAGTGAAGCTGGATAATTCCTGATGTGTGGTCAATAATCAAAAGTCAAAGACTATGTCTTCAATTCAAAAACTTAGGGAAGGGGTATATAGTGAGACACTATTCATGAGAGTGAAGCTGGATAATTCCTGATGTATGGTCAATAATCAAAAGTCAAAGACTATGTCTTCAATTCAAAAACTTAGGGAAGGGGTATATGCACTATTTGAAAGAAAAATTATGTAAGGATTATTTTTAAAAAATGGATTGAAGGAGATCCTTAGCATCCTTGCCTATCAATCCTATAGGACAAGAAAAATTTACCTGTTAATTTCCTCCTTACAGGAAGAAAGAGCCATTTTTTCAAAAAATAGCAGTGGCAAATCAGAGCTCATTCTTTTCCTGAAATTTTCCAGAAAAATGCTCTTCCTCCCTCTTTTCCTCTGAAAGCCACTCACAGCTCTATCTGAATATAAATTGCAACCTGGCTAGGTGTATACAGAATGGCTCAGCTGGGCTCACTCCTCACTTCTCCACTTTGATATGATGCAGGAAGGCAGTATATCATTTCTACTGAAGGGGGCTCTTGGTAATCGCTGCACACAACCTAGTATTTACTCCTAGTCTGCAGATCAGTAGGGCTGCATGAATAAATTCCTGCTGCCTCTGACACCACTAAAAGCAAAGCACATTGAGGTGAAATTTCACGTTGCATCAACAGCAATTTGCTCTTTTACAGACATTTTCTCTGCGTGTTGTGCGATGTTAGAGATGTGAAGGTATTTCAAGGTAGGTTTGTGCCACAAAGGAGAAAAAGGTTGCACGTGACTCCTATTTTTCTTTTTCTTTTTTTTCAACAAGAAAGTCAAACAAGAAGGGTTAAGGAACTTGCTCCCAGTTGGAAAATGAGCCAATAGGACTCTTACCAGCTAGGCCTTTACTTAGAATGACTTGATCACAATCTCCATAAAGGCACCTTTTTTTGTTTTTTTTTTTACAAAATTCCTTAACCAAGGCATTTCTCTAGGTGCAAAAGTACCTATCATTTTGCTGCCAGGGAAGAGTTGATTTGCTATGAAAATGACATAATTTCACCCTGGATCAAATGTGCAAATTCTTGTGAAGTCTTCACTGTTGCATGTGAATACGCCTGAAGCGAAAATTGGTAATATCACACAACACTGTATCAAGCACCGGGAGACATAAGGCAAAAGTCTTAACTGAACTTTTCTATTACTAGTAAATAGGATTTTAGATGTAATATAACAGTCATCAACACATCACATTTTACCAGTCAGGCAGCGACACTTACTTTGTAGATGACAGCTTGCCCCGGGTATCTTGGCAGTTCATAGCCACTTTTAACTTTGACTAAGAACAGCCCTAGTCTTTCCTTATTATTGACTTTCCTCTTTGGTTGGCTGGAAGGTGAACTAGGGAGTAGTTACTCTACCTTCAGTAAGAACTATAGGGTAAGACTATTGCAATTCTGTTCAACCTTCCTAGGCTTTTAATAAACCCAGTAATTTCCTTTAGGGACAGGTTTATCAAATTTGAATCAGCCTCATATATATAAGTCAGATTTCAATATTTTTCTGTGAACTGAAAACCATTTATTATTAAATACTAAAGCAACCATCTCCAAGTTCATAGCTTTTTTTCAGAAATTTATTTCCTGCCGGTTCACAAACACCCTTAAGGTGATCCAGATGTTAATCAACAGTGCACCAGCATTTGTGATTGTCCTCAGGAGAACTGTATTTTTCTGTTCATCTCTAGCTTTTGTTGCCTGATTAAGTGTTGGGGTGAAATTGTGTGTTTCTAAGAAAACTAACTCAAAGCAACATGCCTGAAAGTCTGACAAAACATTTTGAGATTAACCGACAGGATTTATAAATAAGTAGCATTTTATCTTGGTGCTTATGTCAGCTTTGTAAGAAAGGACACATTAGTGATGATTTAAAATGCAAAGGTGGCTTTGTAGGGCAAGAACACTGAATTTCTATTTTTTTCTTGATTGTTGATAAAAATTAAATATTGTTTTGTAATCAAGAAGATAAAGCGTAGAACAACCAATCAACCAAAAGATAAAGATAAATTTGTTCTCTTTTACTGGAGAGTCACTTAGAAATTGTGGCCAGTGGCTGTTGCAGCTTTTGTGAGCTAGCCCTTAAGTGAATCAAGAAGATAAAGTGTAGAACAACCAATCAACCAAAAGATAAAGATAAATTTGTTCTCTTTTGCTGGAGAGTCACTTAGAAATTGTGGCCAGTGGCTGTTGCAGCTTTTGTGAGCTAGCCCTTAACAATAGCCCAGGTGTGCTGAGAGTCATTGAGAGATTTGTGATTCACGAACACAGCAATTTTTTTTCTGGCATTATTTGTAAGGGAGTGATCAAAACACACAAGTCTGTGTTATTCTAGATTATCACAAAATCAGATACAAATGTTCTCAGTTAAATGGAATTTGGATCCAACAATGATGCTCAGTTGTTTTCATTAAACCAATGAAGGGCTCCAGTTCTCTCCTGGCTCTGAACACATCTCGCATTATTTGTAAGGGAGTGATCAAAACACACAAGTGTGTGTTATTCTAGATTATCACAAAATCAGATACAAATGTTCTCAGTTAAATGGAATTTGGATCCAACAATGATCCTCAGTTGTTTTCATTAAACCAATGAAGGGCTCCAGTTCTCTCCTGGCTCTGAACACATCTCATGCCCCTAAGGCTAGGTAAGCAGAAAGAAAGAGCAGCAGTTTTGTTCTCAACACAATAACTAGAATTCTGCATAAGTGGCATGGGTTTGGGGCTGCGTGGCTATAAGCAACTGTAAAGCATGATCAACAAAGACCACTCAGGTGAGTGCTGATGAAACTAAATGGACTGACCATATAACAGTGGAGATTCCGCGGGTGTCTGCTGCCAGCTATAGTATTTTCTAATTCTGTGAGTCTGTAATATGAAACTACTATCAATAGGCTGTCGCACTGCACCATATGTGCAAATAGAAATTTATGAGTACAGAGAAGGTGCTTATGTTCATGATGCCACTGGGTTGGAGGAAGAAAGAAGACAGGAAATTATATTTATATGGCAAGTAAAATGGTGCTTCTGAATTGGATGTGTTATCGCTCATTGTTTGTGGTATCCCTCTGCTGGCTTGGGGTAGACAGTGCATAAGGCTCAGTAAAGCTGCTGGACCCATTAGGTCCTAGCTTGTCAATCCTAGAGCAGATGTTTCAAA